CAGCTCAAAACGCAGGAAACCGGGAGCCGGAGCGACCTACCACAAACCAGGGGTTTAGGGGGCACCTGAGCACACGGCAAACTGCGTTGGAATCGATTTGGGATGGGTTTGTGTCAAAACTCGTGCTTTTTTCCCCCCTGAAAACTGCTTTTTTTTTCACGTAGGGCTGCTGACCGTGCGCGCGCGGCGCTGACGCGCGCTGGCGTGACGAGAAGTGACTCGTCCGTCGGAGCGACCTACCACAAACCAGGGGTTTAGGGGGCACCTGAGCACACGGCAAACTGCGTTGGAATCGATTTGGGATGGGTTTGTGTCAAAACTCGTGCTTTTTTCCCCCCTGAAAACTGCTTTTTTTTTCACGTAGGGCTGCTGACCGTGCGCGCGCGGCGCTGACGCGCGCTGGCGTGACGAGAAGTGACTCGTCCGTCCTGCCGATTTGGAAATCGCGGGCTGCCAGCGGGGCCTTATCTGCGGGCGGCAGCCGGGGACGAGTCACCCGCCCCGGGTGGCCCCGGCTGATTAAGCCGTGTCCCGACTCACCCTGCCCCGAAATCCGCAGGAAAATTGAGAGAGCAGGAGCTGGTGCCACCCTCGGCGCTCGCTCCCCGGAAAGGCAGCGCGGCCGGAGCGGAGCCAAAGCGAGGGAGGTGCTGGGGAATCGGCCTGGGACACGAAATGCTGAGCTGGAGCTTGGGGAAACAAAAACGCCTGAACTCCCTGGGTTAAATACACATATATACTCTTAAAACGGTTCGGGGAACCAGAGAACTGAAACACTGTTGATCCAAAGATCCCTCTCTAGGACCTGTCGGGCTCAGCAGGTACCAGGAACTAGTGGGCAAGACAGGCCCTAAGGCAAAACCCCCTTTGGTTTGTTTTTTTCTCTGAAAAATGCTCAAATCTTTTACGCTGCATTAAAAGGCAGATAGAAATCCAGGCCATGCCCTTGCAGTGTTACTTTGCTCCATAAGCAGTAGCTTTATTGGCCCAAAATACTTAAAAAAGGGAGGGGAGCCTCAAATCGCAAGTGGCAGGAGCTGCCTTTTGTCTCAGCCGCCTGGACTCGAAGGGCTCCGGCTGCTCCAGGTCGGTGCTGCCACCTCCTGGGCTGGGAAAGGCTCAGGAATTCCCTGCAGCTCCCTCGAATTCCAGTTCTCACCTCGTCACTAATAACGTTCCCTGCTTTGCCCAAAAACGACTCGGCCTCAAAAAAGCACAAAAAACTGCTAAACCTCCAAGCTCGTTTTGCTGTTTCCGTGCCAGCCCACGCTGCGGTGAGGAGGGATTTGATGCCTTAAGTAGTAAAAGGAGGATTAAACAGCAGGAGCCGCAGGTGGGAAATCCTGCAGGATACGCGGCAGCGAAGCACGTGGTGCAGCCGAATGCGTAAGGAAAATCCAGTCGACCTTTTTCTGCCCAAAACCCTAAAGCGCTTCCCAAACTCCTGCTCGAGGAGCAGGATTGGCAGCTCCGGAGGCGGCGTTCGGCTGCGGGGGCCGCGTTCCCGGGATTCCTTCCAGGATCGCGACGCCCACCCTGACCCACCGCTACGTGCGGGTAAATAACGGCCATCTCCAGCTTCCTCCTCTCCGGGGTTTTATTCCTCAGCGATGCTAGCACCGTTTAGAAAACAAAACGGGAAATATATACAGATTTTTATTGTAACGGACAATACCCAGTTATTTAAAAAAAAAAAAGAAAAGAAAAATACAACCATCGGGTAACCATGGAACAAACCGAAGATGCTAAGAAACAACATTTTTTACCCTCTCTTCCTATGGGGCAGAGCAAGTACATCTGGGTTTGTTATAAATAACCCGGTTCACTTTATGGAGCGAAGCATCTCCTGCCTCTGAGCTACCAGCACATGCAAAAGCAAGTGCTCTTCCCTGGTGGAGCAGAAGTCCTTCCCACGGGCATCACGCAATGAAATCCAAGGGTCTGTTGAATCCCCCTTTTCTGTTCATGTACTGCCTGGGAGGGGAAAGAAAACTCGGTAAATGCGGGTAAACCAAGCAAACCAACCCTGAGGGGCTCCAAACTCGAGAAAATGGACAAGCTTCCAGCTCGCCTGGCTGCAAAGGGGAGTCTCATGGAGCTTTGCAAGGAGGAGAAGCCGTGGGGAAGCAAATCCCCCGAGAGAGAGGGAACAAAGCTGCTTATACGGAGCAACTTTCTTGTTTTGACTTGACACTTCGTGCAGGGGTGAACGTTTGGAGCTCGCCAGCGTGATGCTGCTCTGCACCCGTTTGCTTAAAACGGCAGCACCAGACCCAAAACACCCAATCCAGTCTCTGAGTGAGGCTACTGCATAAAAAGAATTATTTCTCTTTGCATAAAAATTGCATAAAACTCTCTGTAGTCACCATAGCAGCGTGAGTTTTGCAAAAAGCAGAAGGACAAACCTGTACTTTCTCTTCTGCGACACGTTGATGGCGTAAGCGTTCGCGGCGCCGTCCACCTTCTTCCCCTGAAAGACAGGAGCCAAACGGGCCAAAACTCAGCGCGTTGCGTGGAACATGCCGGAAAAAGGGCACAACCCCCTGCGGCCTCCCTGCTGCAGCGTCCCCCGCCCGCCCTCACCTTCGTCGTGTCGAAGGAGGCAAAGCCCATCATCTTCATCATCTCGATCTCCTCCTCCGTCTTGCCCTGCAAATCCTCCTCTGGAACGGCAACGGAGGAAGAGCAAGGGCAAAGAGGGAGTTTAACACGCAGCGAAGGCACCTGCTGTTTGGGCTGGAAGGCTGGGGTCGCCCCGGCCCCGTTACCGGTGATCTGCCGCTCCTTGCCCTTGGCGTCCTTGAGG